ATACATAGAATGGAACATATAGTAAGAAGATATACATACATACAGAGAACATGAAAAGGTGGAAGTTGCCATCCCAACTCTAAAAGGCTAATTAATTAAGATGAGCTATTATCAGCAGAAGAAAAAAAACTTTTGTAGCGATAAGAGACAGAGCCTGAATAGAGTCCACTACAGCGTGACTAGTGGATTGTGCTGGCTTGGCCACATGGAATATGTTTGAACCTTAATTTTTCTATGCTAACCTAAACACTTCCAATCCTGTGTTCCAGTTGACTAATAAATCCTACTCTGTTTTGAAAACGCTGCCTGCAGTCATTGAAAATACTTACTGAGGTGCATTAGTCCCTGAAGAACATACAAGTCTCTAAGTAGGACTCTATCCCAATTGGATTCGCTGAGCAGAGCTAACAGCATGAAACAGGAGTGCTGGAGGTTGGAGGCTCAGTCTTATAGGCGGAGAGGCTGCATTACCTACCCTGAAGGAAGACTGAGACTCTGTGGGGGTCTGGCACACTGAAGTGGGTCCTCCAAGAGACTGTTTAAAAGCTGGGGCATAGCTACTGTCCTGTTGATCCATGACAGGGGGCATGATAGAGGGCAGACATGAAATGGGCCCTTGATCAATCTTGACACTGTAGGGTGTGAGTTAATGGAATGTGATCGAGCTGGCACATGATGCACTGATATTGCTGCTCTGCGGACCTTTAGAGAGATAAATGCCAGTCCCGCCTGTTTCTGAAGCAGCATGTAATCCAGGATCTTTGGGATCTGGGCTTCAACTGGATTTACATTGGTTTGGGTCACCCATATGGCAAACCTCTTCCATTTCACGGAGCAGATCCTCCGAGTGGAAGCTTTCCTGCTCTGCATAAGAATTTCTTGCACTTGTCTAGAGTGCTCCCATTCAGTGATGTTCATTCAGCCAGCATCCAACCCATCACATGCAGTGACTGTGGGTCCCAATGCAGTACTTGAATCTGAGACACCGTATCCAGGCAAGAGGGAAGGCAAATGGGAGGTTGGCTGCACAGCTGGAGTAGGTCTGACAGTTAAAACTGCTTTGACCAGTATGGGGCTATCATGAGAACAGTAGCCTCCTTGTCCCATCTGCTCTTGGATATATCTTGGGGATGAGAGGGATTGATGGGAAGGCACAGAGGATACCTTGAGACAATTGAAGGAGAAAAACATCCAGTGAGATCCTGAGATTATTCACTGCACCCCACACACCGAGCAGAAGATTTTAGTATTCTCTGCGGTGGTGAAATCACCAGAATATCATGTCTAGGATGGATTTCTGCAGTGACCACTCATGGTTGGTTACTACATTTCTGATCAAGAAATCAGTAAGGTTATTATTGACCCCTGAAAAATACAGGGACAATGGAGTCATTCCATGTTGGTGACACTATTCCCAGACTCAGTGGTTTCCAGGCACAGTGGGACAAGCAAGCACCTCCTTGTTTGTTGATACAGTGCCTCGTCGATGTATTTTCCATCAGGATCTGCACTACAGAGTTCCATAGAAGATGTAGGAATGCTATACAGGCCAACCCGATGGCCCTCAGCTCTAGGTTGTTCATGTGCAACTTCAGATTGTATGGAGACAACACTCCTTGCATTTGGAGATGAAGCTAGTGGGTACCCCCAAACTGTCTCTAATGGGTCCATAATAAGCACCATTGCTGAGGAGGAGGTTAAGGACACTTCCTTCCCCATATCCAATGGTACTAGCCACCAGATAAGTTCTTGTAGGACTTTGGGAGGTACCATGACCAATTTGTCCATGTAGTGCTTGGCTGAGTACACTGTCCTTAGTCCGTGTTGTAATGTCCAAAGACTAAGTCTATCAAGCAGCATCACATAGTAATCCCATGCATCTCCTGACCATACTGGACAGTCTTGCCATTATGTTGTATATGAGCAACTGAAGGGACCTGAATCTGTCTTCCAGCAGATATGTTTGCACTGACCTTGAGTTGAGTTCCTATGAATTCTGTAATTTGTGATGGTGAGAGATGATTTTTCATAGTTCACCAGGAGCCCTAGCTGAAAGAACAGGGAGAAGATTCCGTCTAGAACTCTCTTGGTCTCATCCTGGCCTTACCCTGATCAGCCAGTCGTCCAGGTACAGGTACAAGTGAAGTCCCTGTTTCCTTATCTGTCCTACTGCCAAGCACTTGAATACTGGCAGTGTTGTAGAGAGTCTAAAGGGTAGACGCCTGTATTGGTAATGACCGGACCAACCGTGAATCTGAGGTATTTCTTGTGGGTTTGGTGGATGACAATATGGAAATATGTATCCTGAAAGTCAAGAGCCAGGACCCAGTCTTGAGCTTGGAGCAATGAAATAATGGAAGCAAGCATTACCACCCTGAATCTGAGGTGACACATGTATTTGTTGAGTCTCCGCACTTAAAGTGCAAGTGCGCTCATTGTCTCTCACACTTCCCTAACACACACACACATACACACAATGTCTCTCTCACACAGACTGGCTCTCATGCCCACATACACTGTGCCTCTCATGAATCCCAGTCCCCCAACACAAGAGAGCCCTGGGTTCTGGCAAGATGCAGCCCCCATGTGACAGCGTGAAGCCTGCCTTAAGCCACTACCAGTGTGTCAGCAATGGGGGAGTTTCTGGGGCCTGTGGCCGGGGTTGGTGGCTGTGCCCCCTCGACACACTGGGGTCAGTGGCACCAGCTGGGGACTGCCTTCAGTGGAGCATAGGGGCACCAGTTTAATAATACTGCGTAAGGCCCCTAAATCCTAAGGACGGCCCTGGCCAGCCTTCCCCAAAAAAGTCTATTTTTGAGGACCTAAAAAGGGAAACGATGGATGGAACAGCCCAACATCTTGTCCATGAATTAAGCCTATTTCCACCACACACAATTTGAGTTTATTAATTTCCAGTTCCACTCTTCTTGTTTACCAGGCATAACCTTAATACAATCCTTGAGTTACATCAGTAGGTCTTTTTGTCTGGACTAATTCAGTCCATCTGTCTCACTTTTGCACCTTTTCCCATCACCATTTCTTGTTATCAGTTACTGTGACATTTTATTAACTGTAATTCACTTTTGCAGTTGAGCTCACAATCAGGGTAAATTTATAGGCCCAATTATTATAACAAAAAGAATCGAGCTCTGTATTTCTCATGGACCTCTTCTATGACTCCTAGACGGAGCAACAAGGCCACTTCCTAAAACTGTACATGTCTTAATATTATAAAAATTACAAATTGAAGGGTTGCTGCCTTAGCCAGTCAGGGCCGCTGCCGTTAGAATGTACAACAGTGGCAAGAAGCTTTCAGAGTTGGTGCCAGATGAGATATTACAATTTTAATTTTGTTTTAGATTAAACAAAACATTAAGAAAACCCCCTTTTTAAGAAGAAACCAAACCCAGAACATAGAAGAAGAAGAAACTCTGAAAACTGAGCTTCCTGCCTTAGAATATTCAGAGAAGTAAAGCCCAGTACTTACAAGCCAAAACAGAGTTCCAGAGGAAAACAAAAGATGATGTTATGTGAAATAGCCAGTTAGGGTCCTTCCACTTGCAGGGTTAAAGGTTACCTTTTTGTTGGATATTAACATTTATTGTATTGAATGTTTTTAAAATTTTGGGAAACAATTATTTGCTGGACATATTAACTAACCCATTGACTTGAAACATATTTAAGAATGATACATACTGTACTGAATCAATAGGAAAGCTATATTATTCTAAAACAACAGTTCTTCTTCGAGTGATTGCTCCTGTCTATTCCACATAGGTGTGCGTGCTCGCCTACTGTGGAATAGACAGGAGCAACACATCTCGAAGAACACCAGTTACGGAACAGGTAACTGTCCTTTTTTACAACAAGTTCCTTGTACATTCAGAATGGGAGCTACATTATCTGGCCCTGCCTGTGCAACCAATATTATTTGTTACTGACAGTTTATGTTTTCTGGAACAAATGCTGAACTTGGTGTGTCCTTGGTTACATGTGCAGTTAAACCTGTTCAGTTCTGTTTAGCTACAGTCATTGTCAGCAACCAGAAATTTCTGAAGTGTAGACAAAGTATCTGTCTGCTTTTTCTGCACCATCCGAATTAAACTGCTGTTGTGTTGGGAAGAATCAGTAAAGTGGCAGATCAATGCACGGTTCGGGGGACAGTGAGACATGGATCAGGATGTCTAAAAACCTCAAACAAATCCTTGAAAAACATATTATTTCATAAACACATCTATAGCTACGGTAGGTGCTGTGCCTAGTCACTGCAGTGTCCTTTCAGATGGGTTGCACTCCTACCTGTTAGTGCACTTTGGACCCAGGCAATTTCCTGTCTGAAAGAAAATGAGCGGAGAGCTGCACTCGACTAGTAAATGACCCTAATCTACCTTTATTACAAATAATTTCCACAAATAGGCTGGAAGCAGAGTGAGAATCAAGCAGTACCTTGGGCTCTTCACTACCTTGACTACCAGCCCCATTCCCAGTTCTTGTCTTCTCACAACTCCCCCCTCAACCCGCCCGCCCCCAGACCCAAAAGGCTGTTTCACCCCAGTGACTTTTTACTGTCTCTGTAATCACACTTGGGTGAGCGGTGCTCTCCAGCAGGGCAGACCCATTCTGGGTGTGGGACCCATCCCTGCCCGCCTGCACTTCCTTATCCCCAATCTGATGGAAGTGTGGTACTGAGTGAGAGGCAGAACACGGAGCTGCGCTGGGCACAGGTGTTGGACCTGTTTCCTGGGCCCGTTACGTTGCTGAGGGCCGGGTTTCTCTCTCAGACCCCCTCGCCCATCCAGCGGGCCAGACCTGACACATGCAGCTCCACAGACACGGGTAGAAAATCCCAGGCGCAGAACAGCGCCCCAGCCAAGGCTGCACACGTGCGGTCCCCCCCAGCAGGGAGGCTGGGGCGAGGGCTGGCTGGCTGGCCAGTGCGTGGGGAGGGGGCAGAGCCCGCCGAGGCTGGGGGCGGAGGCTGCAGTCAGCGGGGGAGCGCAGCGCAGCGCAGCCCAGTCCCCGCTCAGCGCTCGGACAGCGCAGAGCCGGGAGCCGCCTGCCCAGCGGAGCCGAGCCCCGGCCGGGAGGAGCATGTGAGCGCCCGGAGGGACCTTCCGCGCCTGCCCGGCTCCAGCATGCGGCTCCCTCTGCTGCTGGGGCTGCTCCTCTGCCGAGCCGGTAACTGCCGGGGACTCGCCGGGCTGGGGCTCCGCGGGG